CCTGCCTTTCTCAGCAGACACCTGTCCTCCAAACTAAAACAGCAACTTTTCGTTCTTTGTCCATATATAAGCCTAACCTGATTATAAGTTGCACTTCCGGGTTCGGACCAAAATTTTAGTCGAAATGGTGCAGCTTATAATTGTGATATTACTGTACCTTCATTTTCTTGCTCCCTTCATTTCAATGTCTTTCTAGTACTTTCCTTTGAGAAACTTCAAGAGGTTATACACTGATGTGCACAAAAGCACTAGAATAGGAGATTCACTGATGTGTTTTCGGAGGGATATTTGAAAAATCTTTATTCAAAGTTCAAGTCCTAGAGTTCAATATGAGAGCATCAACTTTTTATGACAACCTTCTGATTTCTGATTTTATGGAGATTTTTTTTCCCACCATCTGAATACAGTAAGCAAGACACCAGATTCTGCTGAAATAGTTAAGAAGAGCTTATGGTAAAACTTATTCATTGATTACTCATATTTGACCCCAAATACTTTCCACATCTGTCTTCACTGGACATTTTAATTTATTGAGAGTCCTCTTTAGTGTGTAGGCTTCATCCTGCCACAGATAACTCCTCAGAATATTTTGACACAGCTGAGAAAGGAAAAGTATAAATACTGTTACAAGACTGTCCAACTGCTTCATTGCAGCTTGATTTATTCGTAAAAAAAATATTTACAAACGGTGGGGTGACTGAATAAAACTATGCCACGGCTAAAGCAACAGCTCCACACAAAAGTGTGGCTGCTGTACCTCGATCAAAGCCTAAGTGATGGCACCTTTTCTTATATGGACAGAACTTTTTTGTGACATCTTGAGCTTCTTCTTTATCTTTTCACACCTTCACTGCTTACTCATGTTTTACTTTTTCATGCAATCATGATAGCTACTTTTGGAATGTCTTATTTGTAAATCTTCTATCTCCATCCTTGCGCACTGATAACTTGTATTCAAAGCATCATTTAATAAGCCAGTACGTTAAGAATGAGAGTACAGAGTCCATTACAAGCTGGAATGTCACTTTAGTGCAGCTGCAGCTTGCAAAGTTTCCATATATTAAAAAATGGACCTAAATAGTCCTTCCTGTATTAACTGGTTTCTGGGTCTGAAGCTGAGAATCATTTAAATTACAGGAAGATAATAATTTTTTTAATCACAAATTCTTACTTTCCGTGTTTAAGTTCTAGTGGCATTCCCCTGGATTTTAAGAGCATCTGCATAACAGAAGCTTTTCAACACAGGAACATTCTCTTTCAGACAGAAAGTAGTATATTCATAACATAAATAAGCACTTAAAATCACACCACATAAAGCTCACAGGTAAGTCTTCAAAGGTAAGCAATTCACTTCCATTTAAATGTTGTACTTTCCCAATGCACACTAGCCTTACAGTTATCAAAAGTTCAGCTGTCAAAGACTGAGGAAAACAGTTTCTACGAAATCTGAAAGCTTTTGAAACATTATTCACCATCTATAAGTAGCTGCAGGAAGGGCCTGCAGCTCTATCATTGCTCACGGCTGAAATGGAAATAATCCTGGGAGAAATAAATGTTTGCTATACACTGGTAACTTGCTAACTATTGGTCAACTGGATGTATTGCAGTAGTAGACTCTCAAATTTTTTTCATCTCTCACAGTAGTCACATTGGTGTTGTGATCTGTGGCTGAAGCATCATTTTCTAGTAGATTAGGAACCAGGAGAAATGACTCAAGCGAATGGCAAGAGCCAACAGATTTAAAAGGATATTGTCAAGGTTGATACTTGTATTGTCACAGAGTCAATTAGGTCGGAAAAAACCTCTGAGATCATTTTCCAACCTGTGATTGAATACCACCCTGTCAACCAGACCATGGCACTGAATGCCACATCCAGTTTTTCCTTAAACACCTCCAGGGACAGTGACTCCACCACCTCCCTGGGTAGCTCATTCCAGCACCTAATCACCTTTCCTGTAAAAAATTTCTTGCCAGGGCCGTTTGTAAGCTTCCCCTGGTGTTCCTTAGGACCATATTCTCTCATCCTGTAACTAATTGCCTGGAAAAAGAGGCTGATCACCACCCAGGTGGTACTTAGAGAGATAAGGTCATCCCGGAGTCTCCTTTACGCTGAACAATGCCAGCTCCCTCAGCCACTCCTCATGGGACTTGCGCTCCAAACCATTTCCCTTCATTGGATACACTGCTGCATCTCAGCGTCCTTCCCAAATTGAGAGCCCCAGAACTAAACACAGGATTGAAGGTGTGGCCTCACCAGTGCCGGGTACAGGGGGTCAATCCCTGCCCTGGTCCTGCTGCCCACACTGCTGCTGGTACAGGCCAGGATGCCATTGGCCTTCTTGGCCACCTGGGCACTGCTGGCTCATGTTCAGCTGCTGTCACCAGCAACCCCAGGCCCTTTCTGCTGGGCCACTTCAGTCACTCTGCCCCCAGCCTGTAGCACTGCCTGGGGTTCTTGTGGCTAAAGAGCAGGACCCAGCACTGGGCCTTGTTAAATGTCATGGTGCTGGTCTCCAGCCTGAACAGATCCCCTTGCAGAGCTTTCCAGCTCTCCAACAGATCAACACTTCCACTCAACTTTGTGTCACCTGTGAATTTATTGAGGGCACATGCACTTCCCTCATCCAGATCATCAATGGAGATAATAACCAGGACTGGGCCCAACAATGAACCCTAGGGAATGCCACCAATGCCTGGATGCCAACTGAATTCACCACCACTCTCTAGGCCTGGCCGTCCAGCCCGGTTGTTTTAACAGAATGAAGGCTGCACCTGTCCTTTGCCAGGACAGTGTTGTGGAAGACAGTATCAAAGACATTGCTGAAGTCCAGGTAGACAACATACACTGTCTCTTCCTCATCATCATTACAGTAGTGCTATGTCATAAGATGCTATGTGTTCAAGAAACGTGTTTCAGAAACAGTCATTTTTCAAAAGATATAAAATCATAAGACAAGGTATAACAAGTTGGGGGAAAACATGTGCTGAAAAACATTTCCATGCACAAGCTTCTTGCAGGAAAAATGTCTTTAAACAGCATTAAAACAGTGTATTATTCAATACCTATCGTTCTCTTTCCATATCTCTCATTCGCTCTTTTAATTAAGAGCAAAAGGCTTCTAAGCAGCCTTTGAATACTTTAAGGAAATACTATCTTAGAAACAGAGCAATATAGAGAAAATAAGATATATAGACTGCAGAAGGAATACAAAGTTCGTAGATACATACAACAATATCTGATTTGAGCTCACTTTTATTAAACAGATTTTTTAAACGTCAAAGGGCAATGCTCATAAAGCACAAAGGAAACAGCTTAAAAATCCTGTCAGGGTCAAATTTCAATAATGATCTTTAAGATAACTGTTCAAGAATTCAGGTTTTTATTACTGAATACTGTATCAGCTTTTGGTAATAACTATTCTCTTACATATTTAAAAACGGCCCCACCAAAGTACACAAAAGTTCAGGAATGGCAAAACACTGACAACCACTATTTCATCATATCACCTTTTCAGGTTCTATGTATGTAGCATTACAACTTTGAAAAAAATGGAAAACAGGATTTATTCCAGATGCTTTGGCATCTTAAGGGTTGTCCTTAGCGTCTTTTATAAAAACTATATAAAATGGATGAGCTGTTTCTAAATAAATGGATAAATACAAACCATGACAATAATGCTACAGCACAAGCCATGCACAGCCAATCCAGGACTGACTGAGAACCCAGCCTGTGTTTGTGGGACATTATATAACCTACAGATAAGCCATATAGAGCTTATCTACCCTGTGACTAAATAAAATCCTATCAGACAAATCAAGAAAATTTGAAGCAGAAAATAAAAGAAGAAAAGTAGGTTGTACTGCTTTGTGAGCTGACAGTAGATCAGCTCAGGAGAGTAGGGGACAAGGCTGCCCCACAACAGCTCATAAGTCATAATTTCTCTGATCAGGCAACCTCCTGTACACGATCTGCTGCCCATTTCTCCTGGGACACTGCATTATATAACCATTGTAATACTCTTAAATCAACTGGAAATGGCCAGACACGCGGTGCAGTGTGTCTCCCTTGCCTCCCCTATCCTCAGCGCTCATAACTGATGGTAAGTGAAATTTGTTCAGTGGGGGCCTGAACTGATGCTGTGCTGAAGTCACTAAGCAGCTCCCAGCTGCCTGGGAATGCACTGCCACTCCCCAGTGATCAGCCCTTGCTTCCTGCTGCACCTCATAACAAACACAGGCAAAACAGTGTTCACAGTGCAAGACACAGGAAACAAAACTTATACAGGCACAGACATTCCAAGCATCAAAGGTCCCATACTTAAAACTTCTTAACAATGCTGATGTGCTTCTGAACACCCTAAAAATAGACCAATGTGGGTCTTCGAGAAATGAGTTTAAAAGATTTCAGCATAGCTGCTAGCACGACAGAACATCTTAATTAGTGCTACTGACACAGCCACAACAGCATATTTGTCTGGAGATGAGGATGCTGACTAACTCTTTACAGCAGAAATATGTTTTAGGTACAGCTCATCAGGAATTGAATGACTTGTGCCTCTTAGAAAAACAATGCCTATTTTTTTTTTTCTGTTGCCAGCATCCTGGCTTGGGCCAGCTACAAAGAGTACAACTTTTTTTTTTTTAAGGGATGAACAGAATCAATCAGCTCTGATCAAATAACAAAGGCTCCTTCCAGTCCTCTATCTCTGCATCATGTAAACTGGCCATAAACCCAGACAGGGAGCCTACAGATCCAAGATTAACTTAAACCATCTTGCACCTTTAGTCACAGATGTTCTTCATTTAGTCACCCAACAGTCAGCCACAACAGTAATCGCCATTTAAGCAGGAATCAGAGCCAAGGTTTCTGGCTGAGACTGTAATGTCTTTCTGTTTATATGCATATAAAATTAATTGACTACTTAACACTGAAAAAGTGTTGTTTTAATTTGAAAATATAGTCTTGAATGTAGTGCTCATCCATTTATTGCCAGAAATGCAAAGAGAGGCAAAGTATTGCAGAGAACTCCTTTTTCTTTAGTAATTCCCTGCAGGAATCAGTTCTGCAAAGTGCTTCTGCTTCCAAGCTATCAGTGGCAAGAAGGTCAAGAGACAAGGGCGTGTAGAAGTTTCTCTGTATCCTGAAATGCCATGTGCAAAAGGCAAAGTGCTATTGACTTTCCATGCCTTTGAAAGAGTGTGAGGTTTGAATGGAAAATAATATTGAACAACTCACTTACACTGACCATGTCACTGCTTCCCTCAGGGAACCCCAAATCACATAGCTATTCAAAGCAGCAGCCATGCCTGTAGACTGCTCCAGTTTGATGCAACATTATTATGTCTAGACAGACCTCCCAAAAAGTCTTTTTTTTATCTTAGAATATGATGTTTTCTGCTAATCAGTACTTTTTCAGTGCCTCCTCAAGACTAGCATCGGAGGACTTCAAAAGAAAGACAAAACAGAGAAATACAAGACAGCAGTTCTTTAAGTGTCACTCTTTTAGTGGACATTTTACATACATCTGAATGGAAAAGGATAAATCAGAGCCCATTTAACCCTCAGTTCACTGATAATTCCTCTAGTAGCTAGCATAGCAACTACCTAAATCTCAAGTATGCACACTGACAATTAGGTATTTTGAACATGACTGAAATGTCAAATGGACTTTTCTATATATAGTTCAGTTACAAAGTCATTATTTTTTATGCCGTTGAACATCCAAAATACTCTGCAAAGTATTTCCATGTTTTAATTCAATATACTATTCCTACAAAACACAGTTATCTTGAATCCAGATCTACTTTCTTCAGATTACCTCTGCAGGCCTCCACAACAGTGGAAGTTTAAACAGTGAACAACTACTTTGACAGTGCTTGATTCTGCAGAGTACTCTAAAAAAGTTTAAAGTACAGTAATTTCATGATTATAAACCGCACCATTTTGACTAAAATTTCGGTCCGAACCTGGAAGTGCAGCTTATAATCAGGTTAGGCTTATATATGGACAAAGA